TGCACGCTCCATGGTCACGGGTTGACGAGTTGACGGGTTGACGGGTTGAGAGTCAACCCGTGACCATGGAGCGTGCAACCGTTCCGAAATATCGGGAAAATAAAAAGAAGTCATACCGTGGTAAGAAACCTGATACTAGTGATAATCATTTAGTGAATAACCACGAAAGTCTTAAAATCTATAAATATTCTCAACATAATGTGAGTTTAGTAAAAAAATAAAAATATAAGAACACCCCACTTATTGGAATCATGTTTTGAGCTCAGTTAGTGTGACGTCTCTACAATAATAATAATAATAATAATAACTAAGAAACAAGAATATAATAATAATAATGCCTTATTGTGCTGTTTTGGAGTGCAAAAATTATACCTGCACCAAAATTATTACCCGTAGTAGAATTCCAGATCATCGGTAGGTCTTATTAAATAAATTTTCTATTTTCTGATCATCTATTCGTTCCGATGTTAATCGTTCGTCGTAGTCCAATTACTGGCCGCAAGATGGCAGCATGTTGAATAAAAGTTCAATGTAAAATCAAAATGTCGTAACTTGCAATAAAGGTAAAAACTTTCAACGATAGGGTTAAGTTTAAATTATATTAACAATCCAGAATTTGTGACATGTTTTTAAATTAGAAACTATGACCAATCATTATCAAGATTTCGTAGTGTTTATCATTTGTTTGTAGGTATTTTGGCGAGATCGGTTCCGATTACGATAGTAATCGAGGCTTATGGCAAGTCTCTTGCTTTTTTTCTTACATGGAATGATACAGGGTGACATGAAATACATTTGGCACCGATAAAACAAAAAATAAGAAATTATGCACTTAATGCAAGTGTGCACTTGACCATCAATATGTACTCAAAAAATTCTATATGCATTAGGGACACCGTGTAACCCTATGACGCATGACCGATTAATTTAAGTAGTCAATTTTCTAATTATGTTCCGTAACTTATAACAATTTTGTTTATTTTCAGTAACACTATAAATAAATCTACACAAAAATTGTGTGCAGAGTAGTACGGCTTAATTTGTAGATTATCTCAATTATTTCCTAAATCTGAAATTAACTTTTATCCCCTTTTGACTAAAGTCCACTTTCGGAATCCATAAATAAAGCACTATAGCAGTATACTCACGTCTCTTAAGCAACATTTCTGTCTTGTTTTTCTTACAATTCTCGAACTGCTAAAAAGCCGACCGGACTAAAAAAACAAAGTCATTTAACAGCCAATTTAGCACCATGGGTTGTTTTTCTTTACGCGTATTTCTCGTGAATAATGGACCGTAAAATAATTTAACACCTGTAAGCATTCAGAATGGAGGGAAACTGAAATATTGCGATTCTAATGCTAGTTAATGTGAAAAACGTCACTATTTTCTATATTGATTTATTACATAATATATGTTCAGCTCAATGTGCCCAATGTCCGTTTACAAAGAGAAATTTCTATAGTTTGTTACTCAAGAGATTTTGCCTTACAAACAAAGCGTGCAACACACAGAGACCGGGTGCGCGGGCAGGTCTGAATTCCGTGGATTTATAAGGACGACAACACACAGAGCGCTTATGTAGTAGTGTATTATTATAAATGTAACAACTTCAAGACTTGTAATTTGCTTATTTTCTAGTAGCGGCAGAGCTCCTTGTGAAAGAATTCGTCCAGGAAACTAATAATAATAATAATAACGCACACACTCAACATAGCCCCGCACTAGGGAAACCCTGTGTCGCGGGTGCCATGGACACACGCATAGACAACCACAAATTACACCCAAACTCACTAGAGAAATAAATGTAGGTCATACAAGTATATATGTTCGTCCTATAATAGCAGTAAAGATCCTTGTGAAAGATCTCGTCCAGGGAAGTACTGCGACCTTACCTATTTCTGCCGTCAAGCACTAATGTGAACGTTACTGCGTTGTTTCGAAGGGCAAGGGTGCTGGTGAAATTACAGGCACATGGGACTTGTCAACTTATGTCTCAGATCCTTGTGATTAAACGATCTGAGTGGCATTGTAACTGTTAGGGATAGGCATGTCGCTTGCCACCAGGCATACGACTTGTTCGTCACTCAACGTTATAAAAAAAAACTTAGTGTCCTAAAAACAAATCTTACCACGTTTGTATTTTTCTTGCAGCGCATGGGATCAGTACACGGAGAGGAGCTTCCCTACTTGTTCGGCGCACCACTCGTCGATGGTTTGGGACATTTCCCAAAGAACTATACAAAATCTGAAGTTGCACTAGCCGAATCTTTCATACTCTACATTGCTAACTTTGCTAGGACTGGGTAAGTAATAATTCTATAACAATTATATTTAGTATAGATAAGTACATAGTTTTAGGACAATAATGTGATGGGTGGAAGTGTATAAGGGACACTGTTTTTGTCGTAAATACTTAAAGTTGTAAAGTAATAATAAAACATCATGACATTGAAAAAACTTAAAAGATACCTCTCTGAGAGAAGAAACTAATTTCTCACAGATGGCGTTATGGCAAAAAAGTCGTTAAAAACCAAATACAAAGACCTAAGAGAAGCACACAATTCGTAAAATCTGCTGGTTCTTTCAGCATCTGGCACGTATTGCCTGAGGGTTACTGGTTCGAATCCACCCGGATCGAATGAATTTTTCTCTGTGTTAGATCTTTGTTATTAATAATTATAACAAACTAATGGATTAAATTCCCAAAAAAATAATTGAATATCATGATAGTAAAACATTGTTATAATCAATAAACTTCATATTACAAGTTATATTTAAATTATAAAAAAAAATTATATTTTGTCGCTTACAGCAACTTACATGGGAGGTATCGACAGAAAGTTGAATATAACATAATAAATATGCGTAAAATTTATTCGTTAAAATGTAGATTTTTTATTAGAAAACGTAATAGACTTGAAAATTGTTGCTTACAAATTTTTACAACAAACTTTTTAAAACAAAGCAAGAGAAAAACGGACAATATAAAGCCAAATACATATTAGCATGTTAATTATATAACATGGAACCGAAAGTTCTATTTCAAAGCAAACGTTCAAAGATCTGTGGTATTGGCATGTGGAATTGACAAAGAGTCGCCATTTGTATCTGACAGAGTAGAACACGCCTCGCTAATTCGCTGAATGCATCGATTGCACTATATCAAATGTTCTGCTCGACATTTTGACTAAGTGCTTAACAATAAACGACGATGGAATAATGAAGTCGCTATTATTCTGCGGGTCATCGAAATTAAAACGAAAATTTCGAACCCCGAGCGGCAAATTCTAATTTATTATAAAGTGATTACTGGTTTTCTCATTCGAAGTTTTTAATACTGACCCAAGGGACTCGGTGTTCAGAATCAATAACATTTACTTACATATTCAAGCAAGATAATAAAACGGAGAGAGTCACAAAGAAGTAATTACCGGTTTGAAATTTTATTTTATTTTTAACCAAAAAAATTAGGTTATACTTTCGGCTGTTTGTATGTCTTCCGATTTCTCCGTCAATTGGGGACCGATTTTGATAATTCTTTTTTCGTTTGAAAGGGTGCACTTTCGTGGTGGTCCCATTATCAAGTCTCGAACCAAGATTCGAAATAAGGTTATCCGGCATAGAATCAAGGTCTTCAACATAGCTAGTGGAATAAGCAAGCTGAAACCGCTGCCGCGGCAAAATAACCGCTAGGGGAAATGAGTTCTTGAGTAGAGACCAACCGAACCTTGGCAAACGTAGTGTAGGACGCCCTCTGATTTGCGGAATTACGATCTGCGAATGCTAGGATGCGACAAGCATAGGACCGGGCGACATGGCACACATTGGGAGAGGCCTATGTCTAGCAGTGGACTGCGATAGGCTGATAGTGATGTAATTGATTCCATCATGAATGTTTTAAGTTCATGTTTGTCAGCATAGCATTGTATCGTAAATTGTTAATACTCCAGAGCATTTGTGTTTTTACAAATGCCACAAAACGAAACTCTGCTCCAACAATTCTCCATTCCGAGGCCAAACAGCATGGAACAGGAAGACGACCGTTAGCGAGCCCGTAGTCTGTTATTTTCACATTCAACGGATCGCGAAAAATAATGATACAGTTTATATTGTTTTATTGTACGTTACGCTTTTGTGAATAAACAATACGAAAGATTACGCTTGCAGGCGTTTTCAAACAATGACTTTGGGTATTATTTTTGGCCTTGGAGAGTCACCTGGGAAATGAGTTATCAGGATCCTAGAAAGTGCTGTTCATATTTTAAGGGTATTAATCAAAGGGGCCATACTTAACGGTTTATTGTCTGAGTAATATCATGGAATATTTAGCTGAAATAAGTTCAGAATATGAAGAATATTCTGCCTTAGAATTAAGATATTCCAAATCAATTTTCGAAAGAAATAACGTAAATCAATTTTCATTTTTTCATTTAAATATTTTGGGTATTCGACTTATATTATACCTTGTGAAAAGCGATGATGTATAATACCTGTTCAGTCTCGTATTGAAAAGGTCCACGTTATAACGTACAGTAACTCCAACTCCATAGCCGTACGCGATACCTATTATATATATATGAGGAAGCGTAACGCTTCATGCGAATTTCTTGGTTTCCAGATTAATGAAACAAACCATAAAAACTGTCGACAATCTAATTAATCCAAAATCGGATTCGGAAACACGATGGCAATCGATTCGCAAAGACTTCTTTCCTCCACTACCATATTAATAAGCTCTCAAAGCCCGATCTCATCTTGAATGTTAATTAACTGGTTACAACGTTGAAAGAGCCTGAATATAAATGCATTGTTCCAATCACACAGACTCTTGAACTATTTATAAATAGAAATATTAATAAAAAAACAATTTTCCAATAATAGCTCAGAAGAGCACAAAGAAAAGAAGAAAAAACAAACGGTAAAATTTAAGAATGATAATCTTAATTTCTAAAGTAAGTTAAGAAGGCGCACTGTTTGTGGTTCTATTTATTTCAAATGAAAAGAAGCTTGTTAAAAATATATAAGGTAGCTATTAGATAATTAAAAATAAACATTTCGATACACCTACATTTCCCTAACATGTTTATCTGTAAAATTTTCCGAACCTGAATGTCTAAATATTATTCTTTTCTTGTAATAAAATTGATATTAGCATTTTTACACCGATAGAATATCAAAAGAGGTAGTAACAAGGAAACACAATTATTACCAAGGTTGACGTATCTTGAAAAACAGTATACTGTATATAAAATTGTACAGGGGCAGGGAATTGTTTACTTCTCAGAAGACTTAGCCTGCAGGAATCTAAAAACATTATGGAGAATTAATCAATTATGACATTGTTCTCAGGAACCCAAACGAGGCACAACGACAGGAATCAGTGCTGCCGATATCAAGAGAACGCAATCGGTACAAAAGTATACAATGGGATGAATACGATACATTGCATCAGAAGTATTTGGAGATTGGTGAGTATGGTTGTAATATATATAAGAATAATGCATATGCATAGACAAGAGTTAAGGGTTTTTGTATACTGTGTATGAAATTTTGACACTATTATTCGTAATATATTTCAAGAATCTGTGTGGGCCGAAATGTTTTATAAAGACGTTGATTTTAATACACATAACAGTATACGTAATTTCGAAACATCAAAACAGAACGAGAGCTCAGAACAATAACAAAAAGAGGTGACCCCATTATGGAAGCAAAATGGCCACAAACATCAGCTGTTGGAAAACAAAAAAGGATGTACGAAATTAAATTTTATTTCACGTCTCGCTCCACGGTATCAATTTCTGAGCTAATCGCACCGTCCCTGCTTTTATCCTGGGTTTCTTTACCCTTTTCAAATGCAAAATTGTGAGCGATGTTAATTTTTACGTGCAGATTTTTTGTACTATGTAAATTGAAATCTCCACGGTTACATATGTTGTCTTTTAATATCGTTTCGGGTTACATTCTAATAATAAATTTAGAATTTCACTCACGTCAAGAGTTAATTACTTTTGCGTTTGCAAAAGGATGTCCTGTTCATAATTAACGATGTTTGTTTGCTCAGCAACATCCAAGGTTTTAAAGTATACAGACCTGTAAATCAATGTACAAAATCGAATGCTTCACAAAGTTTTTGTTTATTTCTAACATCGCCAATTCGATTACAGGAATGAAACCACGCATGAAAAACCATTACCGCGCCCATCAACTGTCGGTCTGGCTGCGGTTGATCCCAGAGATCCACCGCGCAGGAATGAAGGACGTAGTAGCTAAACACAATCTTTTCCGCAATCACAACGACCCTGAACTCTACGACGGCCTCGTACGCCCAGATCCACTGACCAGAGCGAACTATTACGACCCTACTTTGGAACTTTATAGAAAACCTAATAACATTACTCTCGATATACCATCTACAACCATGGACACGTACGTCACAACTTGTATTAGTGTAATTTCTGCTAGGCCAGGCTCTGCTGTTACTCATAATCAAGCTGTTAATAACACTCAAACGCAAGATGTCGCTAATTTGGAAGTCGCAGGTTACACTGCTTATTCAACAGCGTTAAGTGTTACTATTGCTATAGGATGTTCTTTATTAATTTTAAATGTTCTCATTTTTGCTGGAGTATACTATCAAAGAGATAAAACACGGTTACAAGTGAAAGCATTGCAGCAACAGCAGAAAAGGAACCATAATTCAACGTTTGATAGTGTCTCTTCGAAACATCCTCATTATTTTGTCGGACATTCCCAAAGCTCGAGCACCATAGTTGATATAGACCATCAGGATAAAAACGCAATTATAGCGATGACAAACCGTGTTCCTCATTTTGCAAATACGAATTGTCCTAATGTATGTCATACGGGGATTCAAATGTCGAATTTGTCTCAAAAATCTAGTCCTCCAAATAGAGATAGATGCACTACGCTGCCACGGAAAGTTGGTTTTACCAATTACCAGCAGACGAATCAGATTTGCAATGCTTCTAATTGTATGACGTTGCCAAAGAACGCTTCGTTCTTGAGTAGTGCGAGCAACTTGCCTGATGTCCAAGCTCAGACTGGGCAAGCTCAAGGACCTGGAAATGGGTCTGTGTTGCCTCCTCCTTCTCCACCTCAGCACTTCTCTCAAAAATCAAGAGTCCCTCAAGCAGCGATGTCTGAAATGAATGTATGAGATATGGAAGATATTTACAATTATGTGTAGAGTGATAAGGGACACTTAAACAAGGCCAGTATTTTTATTATTCCCTAAACTGAGTTAAGTAAAGGGTAATTGTATAAATTTATTGACCTTGAAATTCTAGACACTATCACTAATAGACATAGTTGTAAATATCGCAAAATAACTTGTAAATAAAATGTAATGTTAGAATTTATGTATTATTATTACAGGTTTTAAGATTATAGAATAATTAATATATTTATGATGTATAAATTCAGTAGTTTTGTTCATCTTTGTAAATATTCCTTGAGAAATAAAGTAAGACGAATCACTGATTGCTCCATTTTACAAGATCAAAATTTAATTAACGTTAAAGTAGATTTTGAATACCCATGGGAAGGTTTATTCTGAACACAAACGTTAATTAAAAGATAATTGCAATGATCTTTATTTCATGGCAGTCTTTCCACATATTTTTTTGTATGTGATACCATCTTGTTCTAAACTTCTTTCGTAATTTTCAATCGTTTGTAAAAATCGTCATTTAATGACATAATTATTGTATATACATTAGGATCTTAAAGACTGTATAATTGTAACATTTATAAAGACAGTGTAACATAAACTATCTTAGTTTGATTAGAAAAACTTTATAATATAGTTACTCTTTAAAAATTATCTTCCTTATCTATCAAAATTTTTCTACACAAAATTGAAAATTGTAATTACTTACTCGACATGCAAAATAATTTAATAAGTTTATACAAATTAATCGAAGCGAAGTGTGTCAAATGTGTGACAATATTATCTAGTCTGCAAAAGTGGCGTGCGCATGACGCGACTGCAGCGCTGCAGCTGAGCTTCCAAATATTACATGAAAATTGGTAATGGCATTACTAAAAAGCCATAGTAGCGCAACTACAGTGCTTATATAACAAATTGCACAATCTACGAACGAAATGACTCGAACGTTCCTTAACGAACACGCATGAACCTTGAAACTAACGGAAAAGTATATAATTGCACTAGGTCGTGATGAAGCACAAATTTAGAATTTCGTTCTATGATCTAAGATAACTGAGATCAAAAGACATCCTAACAAGTCAATGAGAAATATTCAAATACACTTTTAAACTTTGGCATTGCATTGTACTATCGTCACGAGATATTAGGTATATGTGAAAATACTTATGACGTTGTTTAATCGCGTTTATTCCCGTTTTCAAATGTTAGATAATCAATTGTAAAATTTGCTTGCGCAATTGCGTAGAAAGGAAATTAAGATGAAAAAAAGAAAAGCTTTTGCACATTTGTCGGGGATTAATATTCGTAAAAACCCAAATTTGTCAAATTGAAAACCTGCACGCGCCTTTTAATTAAATTACCTGTTTGAAATTTTTTAAACTAACGTTCTTTCGCGCTCGATTTCTCGTGTTCGTTTTTATTACAACGGAAAGAGCTTCGTTCGAAGGCTAATCGCGAAGGATAGACCGCGCAAAACTGACGCGTGTTGGAGTGCGCAATTGCGCGCGCAACTTATGAGCACAATTGCACGGTTTTTCTTCAACTTCCAACATGTTTAGACGCGCGCTCAATCGCGCACGTTTTCTGCATCATGCGACACTCATCGTGTCTGTGTAAAGACCGCCATTGACTGAGATGGTAAAATCATCAAATAATTATTTAAAAAAATTAAGACGAACTACGTAACGTTTGTTTGAAAAACCAATTTAGATGGACAAGACTGGTTTTATTTCCTAAGTGTAACAATTGCGAAAACCTAAGAACTCGATAACAACGTAAAGTTTTTAATAATATTAACCATTTTGTTTGTCCAAATTGACCACACGACGTCCAACGCTCAATTTAAAGAACAATTCACGAATTTGCTGTAAGTTGCCATTACATGTTGTCTATGTTACATTGTCAACGTTATTATAAGTGTTAATTTATAGGATTTCCAATCTTATTCCGGAGACGAAAATGTGACCGCCGCTACGTTGCAATTTTAAAAAAACCAATGCATAAACTGGCGGACAATAATCATGTTAACAGATGACACAGTGCACTTTCCTTTCGATCAGCCGTGACCAAGGGCATTGTAAACAGCCTGAAACGTAGATTTCTTTGAAGAAACAAATATATACGACCTACATGTAAAAACATTGATAGCAGTAGAGCTCCTTGTGAAGAGTTCTTCTAGAGAAGTACTGCCATCTTACCTATTTCTAATGTCAAGCAGTAGTGGGAGCATTACAAGCACGTGAGACTAGTCAACTCATGTCTCAGGGTGACGGGCGCAGTGGTGGTGCCCGTCAAAACTTTGAGATTTAAAGCTATGAGAGGCACTTCAATTGTCATAGACAGACGTGTCGTTTACCACCAGGTGCGCGACTTGTTCGTCGCGTCACTTTATAGCATAAAAAAATATAGTTTCATCATCCTGGTCCACCTTTCCTTGAGGAAGGAAAGCTCCTTCATGTAGAAAAAAAAAGAAAGTCGATGCGATCGTGAAATTATGTAATATTTGAGTACCTCCGATGCTTGTAACTTTGTAAAACTGTGCTGTATTACTTTACACCATCATTCCAGGATCTAAAATAAATTTTACAGCTTTTACATCTAACAATTTATATTTACATAAATACTAATTAATTATGTTATTGCCTGATTAAATATAACTAATTATAATTTACGTATTCGTATGTACAGTTTGTAAATTAAAATATAAACACGAAGTTATGTAAAGACTATACATTCGATGTACTTAGTAAAACATCGAAAGATTGTTTATGTAATTTATTAGACTTATACTATTATACAGGGTGTCTAAAAAGGTAACGTCAGCAATTTTTTTTTTAGAAATTGTCAATACGATTTTGGTCTTTAAATGTACTAAAAAGTCAAATGATCTTTTTGTTTTGAAACATCTTTATGGACACCTCGTATAAATATTTTTTTTTATAATTATTAGACAAATAGGAATAATAACTATAATTTAATAGCATTAATTTTTTGGATTAATTGAATAATAATCGCGATACTCAGTATCCTGTAATTTAATTTTGTGTTATGTATATATATACACACACACACACATATATATATATATATATGTATATTAAAAAGCGTACTATCGAACTATGTTGAAGATACATAAAATAAAAATTATCTAACCGTTAATATGAAATCTTATGACAAGTATCAAAAATTAAAAAAATAAGACAGAATAAAATTCGTGAAAACTGAGAAATACTGGCTTTTTATTTTATTTCCTAGTCAAATATTTATTATAGCTACAAAACAGAAACACGTAACATCAATAAAGTTTCAATTTGGAGTACTACATGCATAGTAAACAAAGTCACTCGAGCAACATCAAAATTGCAATTGGTAGGTTGTTGAAAAACAGTTACATACTTTGTATGCATTTATAATATTTTTTTCCACAAACATCGATTGTTTGTTCTTGTTATTAGGTACTAACCTCATAGATATCCTGAATGCAGTTAAAAAAATTTATTAACTACTTTATTAAAAACTTTAATATAAAACATAAAAACGTCCACCCGTTCATTTTTAAAGCTTTTATTAAGTCTGTCGAAACATAGGGCTACAAAATAGTCACTTTGCTGAAGCTTTCAAAGAGACGGCCACTTCCTTTTGAAAACTCCCAAGAGCTTTTTTGCAAAGGATTCTAAGCAGATATTTATAGCGCAACACCTTTGACAAAGTTATCTGTTGCATCTCTTTCAAGCTTTTTGTAAAACAGTCGCTTTTTGTGGAAAATTTTCTAAAAAGTGAAAATGACCATTTTCGATTTTGATCTTTAAAATGCTACGTAGCTTTATTGGTGAAGGAGGCGTAATTAAACTCTTAAATAGGAATAAATTACTTTTTCATATGCCAAAAAATTTACTTCAAACCTTTTGTGGTTCGTTGTAAATAGATACTACTCATGGGTTATAGATCAAAACATCACGCAAGAGAAATTCCGAAAAAAAATTGACTAGTTTAAAGAAAGAAAAAATATTTATTTGGTCTCATTTTATTGTGACAAGTATAAAGTAAATCTTAATAACAAAACATTGATGTTCAAAATGGTTTTCATTCGGTTAACCACGCCTAAAATATCACACGCTGTATTCTGTGGTCACGGGAGCAGACGCCATCAAAAAATCAACAAGAAAATATAACTTAAACTTAATACATAAAACCCCAAAACTGATCCACCGCCAATTTAAGATTGCAACTGATTCTCTCTATATTTTGCAACTCCCAACGGATCCCCTCATTGTATTTGTAAGATAAGTACAGTCAAGGGAAAAAGAAGTTTTGAAATCAAATATTCATTTATTGAGGAATTATGATCACATGTTACAATTATCACAGACAATCAATTTTTTTGTGACAGGCTATTAATATTGGCATATTGCAAATCACTAGCAACATATATCATCAGTCTTGAGCAATATTTAAAATCTAGTTTAATGTTATGATTATCATGATATACATTTTTATGTCGACTGTATCACAGTACCTACCAAAAAATAAACTTCCAAATACCAGGGGATCAGGTGGGATTAAACCATTAATATTTTTTATTCTTGATCGACTGCATTGGAGATCCGATGGGAAAAATTGATTTAAAATAAAACGGATCCCCAGGGGACCGGTTTTAGGGGATCAGATGGGCATAAGTCATATAATCATTATTGTTATATATTTTTTTTATAGTTAACTTGAACGTACTTTGTCTGTAGGTATACAATATGTGCCAAATAAAGTATCTGTCACATATTTCTTCTTCTTCTTAGTATACCGCTTCTCTACGAAGGTTGGCGACCATCATTTTTGAATCTGCCGCATGCAAGAGGCAACGAGTGCTAAGGTGGAACCAGATCGCTCAGATTCTTCAACCACGAAGTTTTAAATTGTGTCACGACTACGCTTTCCTTGTATTTTTCGCTGCGTTATTAGTTGAAGAATCCATTATTTCTATTGCCAATTGATGTTGTTTTTCAAAATCTTATGATAGGCATTAGCGCTCCTTATAACAATTACTGAAAAGTAATATCCGTACAAAACCGTTACAAATATGGCCACGTAGTGATACCTTGTCATAGAATATGACAGATAAAACACGAAAGTAGAATGAATTTTATCCTTTCCGCGGTGAGGCGATACTTCACACCGGAACTTTGCTTCAACTGTACCAAGCACAGGTTCGGTCACGTGCGGAGTGCTGCTGCCACCTATGGGATGGTTCTGCTAAATACCAACTGACCACACTGGATTTACTAAAAAAGCATACCAAAATATTTATAGGTAACTCGGATTTAGTATAGGTAAAGCTGCAGAGCCTTGAATACTCACGTAAAATTGCCTGTACCACTATTGTACAGGATGTATAACGGAGAGTGTGCGATGGAATTGCATGATTTAATTCCATCTTTCCCAATCCATCATCGTGGGACTAGTCCACGTCTAGACGTGTGCAGGGGTGTCTCGCCTATGTTGTGGATATTCCAGAGATTCGCATAAAGCATCGCTTTCACAATTATATGGCGAACGGCTAAGGAGTGGAATTCCCTGCCTGCAAACTTGTTCACCGAACGGTATAACTTGGGCTTTTTGAAGGCGAGAATGAATATATAGTATTTACGTGTGCATGCTACA